ACCGGTCCGAGGCCCAGGGGTTGGGGACCGCTGGTTTACATGCATGTGCCTCTTACAGATGAATATTGGATCATTTTCCTGACTAACCCCTTAAATGTCAGTCAGCGTTTCAATTTCAGTTGTTTTATTGGGTCATCCTTATTTTTGATCATTTTGTTTTAGGTAATATTTCTACAAAACAACAGTCAAAGCTGTAGGATGCAGCATTGCTTCTTAGCTAATGGCACTTGTTCCTGTTTGCTTTTCACAGGCAACAGCGATAGTGCAAACAAGGTGGCAGAGAAGTTGGAGGAACTCTCTGTGAAAGACAAGGCATCAGAGGAAAAGAAGGAAGCGGAGAAAAAGGAGACTGAGAAGAAGGAGGTGAAAGATGAGAAGAATTGAGAACCAAGAACTTGCTTTTGCTGATCTTCAATATATCGGTTTTTCCTCTTTTTCTACAATAGACTCTAAATGAACTGAATTTGGACACTTGCATAATATTATTAGGTTTTCTTTTTATTGTTTTTTGCCTCAAGATCACAAGTCCTTGATGCCAATGGGGGAAAAAAATACACGCTAGTGATTTTTTTCTGGAAAAAGTCCTTCCTTTCCCACCCCTTTCCCTCTTTGCACCGTGGAATGCCACGCTTTCCATCGTTGTCATCTACAGTTCAATGTTACTTCAAACAAACTGTGAAAAGAGGCTTGTGATAGTGACGATTCCCACATTGGGGTATTTTTTTTGTTTGGTTTGTTTTTGCTATTCTGATAAAGAGTTTTGTTTGTAGAGGGAGAGGATAACGTAGCCTGCTCGATGGCAGCGCAGGGTCATTGACCAGGTATTACAGAGGTGCATTTTAAGTATAAAATCCCATGTTGCATCTCAGTGGGCCGCCTTACCCTGTCCACTGTTAATGCTCCTACTGTTAGACAACAAGGCAAAGACTTCTCACTGACTGCCTTGCAGAAGTAGTTCCTTCTTTGGTCAGTTCTGTTGGGAACTGATTTGAAGGGAATCCACTCCAGAAAGTTGAGGGGCATCAGATGAGTGCTGCTCTGTGCAGTGTGCACTGATGGTTGACTGATAGGAAATGAGATGCACTTAGCTAATTTTTTTTTTTGTCCTGACAAACATCAAGTCCAAAGTAAACAGTCCATCAGTTTGGTGCAGCTATGCTCTGACTTGCGTTCCTCAGTAGTAAATCAAGTTTGTATTGTTTAGATCATAACATTCCCAGACTTTAAAGCATGTAGAGTATATGTAACAGAGTGTGCCCTCTTTGATCTGTGTGCTCACCACCCTCTCCTTTTCTTTCCACTAATTGAGTTCTTAACCTTGCCTCTGAAGTGCATCTAAGTGCCAGTGCATCTGTAAATACATGAATATGGATGAAATGTTGCTTCTCATTTGCACACAAATGATTTGAAATGTTTCGTCCAACTTCGAATAAAAGCTGTCAAAGACCACACGTTTGCATTCATATAAAGTCACTCGTTTCTTAGGAATAATCAGTCTGATCCAAAGAGTCGGAAACTTTATTTACTCTGCTCAGGTCATTGGGAAATATTTCCTCTTCACAAAAATAGGAACGCATGTACAGTTACAGTATATTCTTCATTTTTAATACACATTGAACTTTCTATATGAGTTTCAGAAAACAAAAGTCAGCTTGTGGCTGACGCAACAGAGTCATTGCTGACTGTCAGGAATGGCCCCTGACCTGCAGTGATGTCCATCCCAGAAAAACAACATTGGACTAACGGCAGTCATCTTAAAGAGGAATGACATCGATTAGCTCTTTAGATATGTGGTCAAACAGGGTCTGGGAGTCACGATAGATCGGCTTTTTCAGCAAACTCAGCAGCCATTGGTCTGTTCTGGGATTTCAAGATGTTCCACTTTGCCATTCCGCTGACATTCCTATCCGTCCGAATTTCCAAAAAACTAGCCCTGTATACCACAGCCTCACAACAAACTATTTTAATCATCTCTCAAATACAGGAGTTGGAACAGACGAGCATGACCGTGCTTTGCAGTAACGTCTTCATTGGTAAGGCAGCTGGGTGAGACCTTAAATGGGAGACAACTCTTGCCACAGAAGGTTCAAGAAAGCGTACCCAGTCAGAGATCGTCACAGGTGTCACCTGCTGCTCAGTACAAACTTCTATTTCACTGTCGAGTGAGTCAGCCATAGTTTGCTTTGTATGGAAACAAAGTTTCTTCCCAAAAGGCAACAATGGCTTATTGTTAATGCAACCAAATGCAACATTTACATTCTAGTAACATCTGGCATGTTGTGTCATTGTCCACTTAGTTTTCATCAGCTATTTTAAAGGTATTACTTTTTTTGATTAACAAAAAAGTAACGGCAGTGCCAGAGCTGTACCAGACAGCTACTGCAACGAATGAATTTGGCATTTTCTCTTTGTGACATAGCATTACATGACCGATTTGTTGTCTCTTTGAAGATGTAGTGTAGCCGCTTTTGGCACTTAAAGATCGAGGCTGCTTTTATGCAAAGCCCAGTCCTCAACTTCATCATTTAGACAGTTCATATCATTGTGGATTATGTCATAACTTCTGTTTTTAACACTGCCATATAGAACAACTTCTATTTACTTTGTTTACCCATTTTTCACAATCTCATCCATTTATTGAAATTATAATTTAAGAACAAACTCCACTCAAAACAGCAATTCCATATAAAAGGATACTTTTTAAAAAAAAAAGGAAAAGTACAAAATAAAAAGTGTGACCAATGTTTGTTTTTTTAACTGATACTGATTTGTTTCATTTGATCTTCCTATATGTATACTTATAGCAAAAACAGCTTATTGACTAAATATTTTTCCTTTTTTGAGTTTCATTTGGTTGCTTCCAGGGTGGACTCATTCTGTACTCAGTGAAAAACACCGGGATGAGGTATTCTGGTCTTTCAGAGCACAATATAATCACCCCAGCTCTTTTGATGTGGCTGATGCTGAAATCACAAACTGAAAAAACAAAAAGAGCCATGATTGGATACTCAATCCTCATTAGGGGGTAAAGGGGCGGGACTGTGTTAGTTCGCAACCCTAAAAATCCACGCTCCACAGACAGGAAGTGGAGACATTTATAATATTCAATTTAATGTCAACCTGCATCTCTGGATGCATGAGTTCTTGAGAAAATTCTTTAGAAAAATAAAGTGTGTTCATTAAAAGCGACTTTTTCATTAAATTTGGAATGCAACCACCCAAAACTAAAGTAAAAGTTAGGTACTCTGTAGAACAGTGGGTGTTCCTCAACCCCTTACCACTGCTTTACGTTAGTGCCTTAAACCTGCATTTGTTGTAATAGCCAGCAGGGGGCAACACTTCTGGTTACACAAAACAAGTCTTATGGAATTCTAAAAGAAAAAGTAATCCTTAATCTCACTTGATTTCTAATGAATTTTCCAAATGAGATCATGGTATCAGTAGCTAGGAACAAGTTGTTTTTATGTCGTTTTTTTTTTTTTTTTTTAAATACTCCATGGTGTTAATTTAGTAAAACATGGTCCCATTTATAACAAAAGGAGACGGTCAGGCAGGGGATACACTGGGATGTGCAGTGCCCTCTGTTCCACCCTTCACTTTCTCTAGCATACTAAACCAGTGCTAGTCGGACAACTAATGAGTTGATTTTTGCAGGAAGTGCAGTTTGTTTTAAGCCTGATTTTCACAGGCTAAAATTAGCATCCAGTTGATGTCACAGTATAAAACAGATGCAATCCGCTGATCGAAGATGCTAACTAATGTTAACTGATCAGCTGTGCCCTCCGTTTCAAATGTGTTTAAAAAAGAAAAAACTCATCTAAATCCTAAAGTTAGTCCTTCGAAACAGGAATCTCCAAACAAATGGGTGATGTCATTGTAAAGAACATCTTTTATATACAGTCTTTGCCCAATCAAATAGCCATGTCAGGGTTGAGGAACACCCGCTCCTGTTCTGCAGAGCTCTTTCCTTGTCACCATCTCCAGTTTCCCATCTGACTTGTGTTGCTTTTTTTTTTTTTTTACTGCCCTTGCACATATCGTCTCCACCTAAACCTCCATCACATCTCCACCAGACATGGCATGAACAGTACAAGTTAATGTGAAGCACCTTGACTTTTTGAGGTCAGCTGAAAAGAGTCTTCTTGCAGAAATCCGGAGCAAGTCAAGTGTTTAATCGATCTGTAGTGTTTCTGTTCAGTCCTCAGCGTTCGCTGGAGCGAAAGTTTGCGTGTAACATTTGGAACGACAAACGCTTCATAAACACAGATGAGAGACGACGGTAAAAACATTGACGATCTCGCTGGACGGTCCACGACGATGGACTACAAAATATTAAGGACAAACACTCTGCACACGCACAGTACAGCCTGCAACGTTAACAACCCACCCCTCTGGCACAAACACACACGGGCATATAGCTAAACAAGACCCTCGAAAGAGCAAAGAGATCCTCTGATTTTGAAGAGTAAACAGGGGGGGGGGGCACCCCTGCCTGCCTGTTATCTTATTAAAATAACAGGAGAATCTCTGTGGCAGAGCGTCCACTGTGGGTCATTGGTGGATGCGGTGTCCCTGCTCACACTGATATCTCATATGTGGTGCCTCCTACGCCTGTCACCTTTTTGACGTTACTGTGGCGACTGGGACTGAGGGCGGCACCCTGGGCACTCGGGTGGCAGTCCATCTGCCCGTTAACTTTCATGGCCTCTCTGAGTGGAAAGAGAAGAATAAGAAATGATTCAAACAAACAAATCAAACACTAAGGGATGTGAAAACATGCACATCAGTTGGAACAGCAACACAATTTTATATGTCAGTCAGAACCCGCCCACCCAAAAAAACACAAGACAGCAACGTGGATGATTAGTCAAGTGTTTACTTGTTAGTAAAAGGCTTGAAAATGTTAGTGGAGTCAGTAAAGAGCATGCAAAATGAAAAAGGAATGATTGTCACACAGTTTTATTCAACAGATTTGTTTGAAATAATACAAAAAAATGTTATTTTTTTAACTTCTACTAGAAAGGCAAACAAACAAATCAAAACAGAATGTGTACGACTTCACACACCAGACAGAACTTATGAATAAATGAGCAGAACAGTGGGACAAAAAAAAACAAACATACATGACACAACTGCTACATGTTGCCTCGATTAGCAGTATCCTAGTGCCCCATGTGTTGCTGGTTGTGTCCAGCAGAGGGAGCAGCGTTTCCATCGAGAATACATTCAGTGACCTCCAGACCCCGGCTCTGTACAATGCATGCAGTACCCCAGGAGTTGCATTAGGATTCATACCTTGGGCCCCCTAGACGAGGGGAGTCTGTCCTCTCGTGTGCACTGATGTAGGAGAGTTTCTGGCGGGAGTAAGAAGGGGAGCGGGGCATAGCGGGGGAATGGGGCTGGTGGGCCGGGGAGCGATAGGGGCCTTCTGGGCCCGTGGTTCTGCTCTGGCTGCTGTTGATGCTGCTTTGATCTGTGTGCAGGGAGGTGGACGACGTCCTAGGTGCACGGCCCAGTGTAGAGCCAGCGTGACGCAGCACTGGGGTTCTTTGACCATAGCTCATCAGTCCAATCCCCATTAGGTTGTCCCTGGAGCCTCCATAGGCTGGAGGTGTCGGGCCTCTTGACCCGGGGCCACGAGGCCCATCCGGGTAGCAAGCATTGGCAGGCAGGCCATAGCCCCCATCAAACACACCAGAGTCCTGGGCATAGATGTGGGTCTGGGAGCGCCCGTGATGCATCTGCCGCTTCTCCCTCTCCTCCTTCTCCTTTCGCTCCTGGATGGATGCCATGATGGTCTGGGAGAGGTTGTCGTAGCGCACCGGAGATGGGTCTCTGTCCCTCAGGTGAGGGGACTGTCTGCCCACCACTCTTGGGGGCATCACTGGGCTGTAGGTAGGGGGGACCTGTTGTCTCTGCATATCAGGTTCCCGGATGTGGCACATTTTGGTGGGCAGGTAGGGTGAGTGGAACCCCACAGAGGGAACCCCACGGTGGGCCATGGACTCACTGGCAGTAGCTGGGGAAATGCTGGGGTTGAGCAGGCTGTCATAGGAGAGACTACCATTGCGGTTGGAGAGATTATTGGGAGAGAAGACACTCTTGTAGGGGGTTGAAGTGACTGTCCGTGGCTCCAGCGCTGGGAGCTGGCCCTTCTCTGGCCGGCCGTGACCCTGCTTGAGGCTGAGAGAGCGGGAGTTGATGGGGTCTGAATCCAGCTGGAGGGGCGAGGACTGAAACGTGCGGTGGAGGGGAGCATTAGCATATTCAGGCAGGTCCAGGTTGGGCTCAGATCGATAGTCATGACCACGGACGCCTTCTTCCAGGATGGCTGAGGGCTGCCGGTCATCAGATATGACAATCTGAGGGGCAAATGTCAAAATAACATCTGAGCCTTTTGGCACTTTACGATGACTCACTGTTCATTGTTTCACAAAGATGTAGAATAGATGATAACATTAATGCGTTACCTTCTCCTCTGTAGTGTGGTAGTGGACTTTGGGCATGGTGCCAAAGGATGGCCTGAATTTGTACATGGCTGGAGTGGATGGGTGGGTCTTACCAGACAGGGAAGTCTCTACAATACAAACAATATAAACCGTGTGTTAAAAAACTCCAGATTAAAGCAACAACACATTATAGTGCATAAGGACAAGAGACAAGAAGCTGTAGAGTTCTGCAAAACCACACAATCACAGTTTCTACACAGTGTTGCCAACTCCTCAGTAAGGAAAATCGCTATTGG